TTGGATAGATGCTTGAGTGGTGATGCAGTTTCCTTAGATCGTGTGGAGAAAGCTGTGGTAGAGTTTGTTTTAACAAAGTATTGTAAAAAAGTGAAATAGTGGGGTTGATTTAAAGCAGAAAACCTCAAAATAACTTGTGGCTACATGTGGCTTTCATCGCTTGTTTTATCTTTCCGTTGTGTAGTTTTTATTTGAAAGAAGATGCTCAGTGCCAAATAATAATAATGATGAAAATATAGAATAATGTCAGAATTCACAACTCATTTTATGTGTTACTCTGATGGCTCATCAGTCGGCTGGTTGGTTTTTAGAAATGATTCCTTTTTAAGAAACATGATTTGCTTAGTCGCTTCACACTTACAGCTCACAGACATCCACTGACCTGGAAGATCGACCCAGTTCACAGACATCTACTCTGACTTCCTCCACAGGCAGAAATCTCAGAGCTGCAGCAGCTCCTGGCCTCCAAAGATGCTGAGATCGAGTGCCTACAGACCCAGCTGCTGGCCAGAGGCGGCAGCGCCAATGACAACGCAGAGAGAGGTACGCTCAGCTGACAGTCTGACCAATCAAATCTGTCAGTGCAGATATGTGCAAGAGGCAGCGATGTGCACGTCTGTCAACTCTGATTACTGTAACATCTAATCAACAGTTCCTCTCTTCTCTGTTCTCCACTTGGCTTGTGTTTTTTTCCACTCTTTGCTGCCCTCTGCTGTAGAGGAGGTGTATATCAAGCATCTGATTAACAAATGTAAGGCTTTTATGTTGCTAATGGGGCTAATTTCTAAGCATCCTCTTGGACAGCTGGATTTTTCTGTTTTGGTCATTTATGACTCAAATGTGAAACTTAAAACCAAACAGGGAACGCTTTAAATGTCGAGGCTAAGTAGTCTCTTCATCGGGAATGTGGATGTTTGGTTTGAGATTGGACCACAGCTAAGCTTCAGTGTGTGTCTGTGATGTGAGCCTGTGCATCCTTTCAAATCAAAAAGACTCAGAAGAGTGTCAGGCTATGCAGCGTCCACTGTCCTGTGCAAACTTCTTATACCACATCAAATCATCTTTATTTAACAGGAGTTCCCCCAAAGTGCCTTCCAGTTTGGGAAGAACACATAGAATATAAAGTACAGTATAAAAGTAGCACACGAACACGCTGATAAATGCACACAGTGAGGCATGTAAAAAATAGATTCAAATCTGAGTAAATAGAACATAATGAGCACATTGAGAGGACTATGATATAAACATGTTATCTAAAGAAAATCTCAGAAGAGAGTGGGACAAGTAGTAGATAAAACTATGTAACTAGTTTATTGATTTCTGCAGGAGGAGTCACCAGAGAGCGTTGCAGTATCCTGACATTTTGTGCTTTGTTTTTCCTCCCGGCATTGTCATATTGCAGTTCATTAGAATAGCTTTCTTGTTGCCTTATAAATGCTGCTCTAAAGCCACCGATGATATAATACCATGCATATCATTTCAAAGCTGAGTCGTTTGAATAAACAACAAAAATCCCATTTAGATAAGTTTCTGCATTTGAAAGGATGTTAAATGAAATCTGGTGCCGGCTCGTGTTTGTGTGTCTGATACTGATGCAAGCCTCATTAGTTCTTCTCTCGGTAATGGTGCTGTTGACAATGCTCAAGTTTCCACGTGTGTCCCAGGTGATGCTGCATGGGCAGTTGTGCTGTCAGCATGTATTTGTTTTGCTTGATTAGTCCTATTTGCACGGCTCTCATGTCTGTCACCGGCACCGCTTCGTGCACCCATCAGCTGCCCTGATCTAACTAGCTAGCGTGAGGGTACAATAGGATCCTTTTTAACTCCTTTGTCTTCTTTGTTAGACCAGGAATACCAGAGGTTAAAGGTGGGGATGGAGTCTTTGTTGGCTTCAAATGACGAGAAGGTAATGAAATCATTTTTGCCACTGCTACAATATATATCATTTACAACAAGATTAAATAAAAAGAGAATGACCATTTCTGCCTTGTGATAACAGGATCGGCGTATAGAGGAGCTTACCATTCTGCTCAGCCAATACAGAAAGATGAGGGAGGTCATGGCACTCACGCAGGGTGAGCTTCCTTTTTCTGTATTGTGAGTTTCTGCTTGGAAACCTGTCTTTTCTCTCTAACGTCCCTATGCTGCCGATTGTTTTGGTTTCTATCTACCAGGAAGCAGTGAAGAGGAGCTGAGCGGCAGTTTAAAGCTCAAAGCCATCACTCACAAAGCACACTCTGACATCCTCAGATCAGAGGTAGGATTCACGAGAAATTTTAAATAAAAGTCAAAGAATTATTGGGTTAATAATCTCACTTCATTCCTCCACAAATGCTTTGAAAAAACGTTTTTTTCCTTCATAGCTGTCATCAAGAGGATCGTCGCCGCTTATGCTGTCCTCATCCCCGTATCAGAGGGATTTGGATTCCAGGTATGAATGTGCAGCGCTCGTACAGTGCGCGATGAATGAACGCCAGACTCTGAGTTAACTCTGTGTGTTGCAGTTTCCAGAACTCTGTGGAGACGTCGCTGGTGTCCGCTGCTGACCCAAGTTTGTTTAATGGGTCTTGGTAAGCCCTGCTACAGTGCAAGCGCATTCAAAGTGTACGTCTGCTTAACCAGATGTCAGTGATACAATATTCTTTCTGCAGGCATCGGCGCCGGTTGATGTCCAGCAGTCTTGAAGAGTTGCAGAGTGGATCTTTACAAAAGGTCTGTTAGTGTTTGCCTCCACGATTCGCTCGTTTAATATAAACATACTAATCTCTATCTAATCCAGCCTATCACATCTGCTTACTAAAAAGTACTTTAAATCAGTTCTTTCTAGCTAATCTTTAACGTTCTGTTAATCTGACTGTGTGATTGCTAACCTTCTAATTCTGGGTGTGTGTGTGTTCTCTGGTCTCTCCCGTCTCTCTGTTGGCTGTAGGCTGTAGAGATCCAGCCACTTGAAAGTGAATCAGATGTAGGGGCCGAGGTACTGATCTGCAACATGATGTCACACATTTAGCTACACAAATCCCATGTATTCATTATACATCTTTAGATTGCAGGATTAGTATATATTTTTTTGTAAAGAAGATGAAATAAATCAAAATATAAACAAGACTTGGGTTGTGGCCAAATAGTCCAAAAAAATGACTCCTAAATCAGTTTTTCCATGACCTGTGTGGAAAACACCATGAAGTCAGGGGAAGATGT